CTTCTCCCTCTCCCACTCCCCTTGCTTGTGTTCCCTCTCTCGCTGTGTCTCTCTCTGTCAAATAAATAAATAAAATCTTTAAAAAAAAAAAAAAATTTCCCCACAAGGAAAAGTCCAAGCTGAGATGGCTTCATTGGAAAATTCTGTCAAATGTTTAAGGAGGAAATAATAACAATTTTACACAAACTCTCAGAAACAGAGTAGCAAGGAATACTTCCCAACGCATTCTTGGAATCCAGTTTTACCCTGATACCAAACCAAAGATATCAACTATAGAAAAGATATCATTATAGAAAACTATAAGCCAACAACCCTCTTGAACACAGATGGAAAAATCCTTTAACAAAAATATGTTGCAAACCATCTACAAATCTATAAAAAAGATTATACACCATGTGGAATTCAAAACAGAAATGCCAAGCTAGTTTTTAACACCCAAAAAGCAAGTAATACAATATACTATATAAATTGAATGAAAGGAAAAAAAACAAACATGATTACCTCAAGGACAACAGAAAAAATATCTGGCAAAATGCAACATGCCTTCCTGATAAAAGCTCTCAGTATACTACGAAAAGACAGGAACTTCAACCTGACATAGAACCTCTCTGAAAAACCTACAGCTAACATCGTAATAGTGAATGACTGAAAACGGACCAAGACAAAGATGTTTGCCTTTCCACTTCCATTCCCATTGCACTGAGGGCTCTAACGAGTATAACAAAACAAGAAAAAGAAATTAGGAGCACACAGGTCAGAAAGGAAGGAAAAAAACTCTTTACTCACAGATATGATCCTGTATGTGAGAGAGAAATCCTAAAAAATCTCTAAAAACTACTAGTACTAAATAAACAAATTTAACAAGGTCACAGGATAAAGATCAATACATAAAAATCAATTCCTCATTTCTAGCAATGAACAATCCAAAAATAAAATAATGTCATTCACAATAGCACCCAAAAGACTAAAATACTTAGAAATAATTTAACGAAAGTACAAGACCTGCACATTGAAAACTTTTAAAAACATGTGAAGAAGAAACAGATAACTACGAAACATTCCAACTTCATGAAGCATACAACTCAATACTGTTAAGGTGGTAATTCTCCCCAAATTGATCTGCAGATCTAATAAAATCCCTACCGCAATTTCAGCAGGCTTGGTGTAGAAACTGACAAGCTGATCTTAAAATGTATATGGAGGAACCCCACTAGGCTGGCTCAGTCGTGGGGCGCAGGACTCTTAATCTCGGGGTTGTTGAGATTGAGCCCCATGTGGGGGTAACAGAGATTACTTGAAAATAAAATTTTAAAAATAAATAAAATGTAAATAAAAAGGAAAAGGATCTAGAATAGTAAGTGTAATTCTGAAAAAACAAGAACAAAACAGGAAGACTAGCATTACCTAATTTCAGGACTTCCTACAAAGCTAGAGCAATCAAGACAGCACAGTATTGGCGTAAGACAGACAACAAACAGAGCAAAACAGAAAGCCCAGAAATAAACCTTTACAACATTTGTGGCCAAATGATTTTTGACAGGTGCCAAAGCATTTCAGTGGGGGAAAGCAGAGCTTTTCAGCAAATGAAGTTGTAATGAATGGATATTCATCTGTAACAAAATGAACTGGACTCTCACATCTCACACCATATACAAGTGAAATCTCGAAACAGACCAAAAACCTAAATACACCAAGTAAATATGAGAGTCAGAGGAAATTTACACACAAGTAAATATGAGAGTCAGAGGAAAAAAAAACAAAACTTCCGTGACCCTGGGCTTAGCAAAGATTTTTCAGATATAACACCAAAAGCATAATCCACTTTTAATAAAAAAAGATAAAGCAGACATCACCAAAACTAAACATTGTGTTCTTCAGAAGACACCATTAAGAAAATGAAGACAAAACACTGGGAAAATATCTGCAAATGGCATATCCGCTAAGAAACTTTCAACCAGAATGTATAAAGAGTTTCTACAACTCAGTAATTAAGACAACTCAATTTAAAAATGGGTGAAAGATTTAAACAGATATTTCACCAAAAAATATATAATTGGTTAGTAAGGATATAAAAAGATGCTCTCTATCATCAGTCATCAAGGAAACGCAAACTAAAACCACAGTGAGACACCACGGCACCTTCACTAGACTGTCAACCATGAAGAAGTATGTTGACGACAGCAAGTCCAGGCAGGGGCGTGGAGACGGGAACCGTCACAGACTGCTGTCGGGACTGTAACAGGGCACACACCATGGACAATGGCTTGGCTGTTCCTCAAGAAATTAACATGAGGGGCACCTGGGGGCCTGGGGGACTCAGTCATTAGGCGTCTGCCTTCGGCTCAGGTCATGACCCCAGGGTCCTGGGGTCGAGCCCCGCATCAGGCCCCTGCTCCTCGGGGAGCCTGCTTCTCCCTCTGCCGCTCCTCCCCCTGCTCCTGCTCGCATGTGCTCTCTCTCTCTAATAAATCTTTAAAAAAACAGCTTTACTGAGGTATAATTTATATACTATAAAATTAATCAATTTTAAGTATACGATTCAATCATTTTAGTAAATTTATGGAGTTGTGCGACCATCACCACAATTCAGTTTTAAGGTATCCGAGTGAACTTTGGAGGATGATCGAAATGTTGTAAAACCAAATCATGGTCAGGGTCAGCACAACTCTACAAATGTACTACAGTCTGAATTCTTACACAAAACCCCACCTGCCTACCTGGTCAGGACACGGTCACCCTTGTTGGCGGTGGCTGTAAGGAGCTGCAAAGGAGCCTCGGGCACTGGTCCCTGCTTGCCGAGGCAGCATTCTGCGCTGCCAGGACTCGACTGTGTTGGGCATGGAGCATCTGACCTGCTGTTGACATTCCACACCCTCCCGTGTACGTTTTGGGTGGATTTCTTTTAGTTTTATAAGCACTTCTAATGTTTTCTTGCATTGTTTCTGATCTGGGTGCCAGTCCCTTGGGCGAATGAGCACCTTACATGTGTCAAACTTCATTGCAAAGTTCACAGAAAAATATTTTTATATAAAAATGTGAAGAGAAAAAAACTAAAATTATCCTTTCTCACAATTGCTAAGGCAGCTCTGGATATTTAATACCTTTTAAAAAGTGTACCACTTACCCTAGAAGTTTCTGACGAGCATTATCCTGTAACTGTGCAATTCTTTCTGGCCCAAGAAACTTCAATCCATTTGGTCCATCACACACTAGCTTGTTAATAGCAGCCCTGAGAATATTAATCTGTAAATAAATGGCAACATAAATATTCATATGGTTCAACTATAACTGAATTTCATTCTATATTTAAATAATTCATTAGCATTCAGAATTGTTTGCATTCTTTTTTTTTTTAAGATCTTATTTATTTATTTATTGAGAAAGAGCACGCACGAACACACATGTGTATGAGAGTGAGCAGGGGGAGGTGCAGGAGAGGGAGACAGAGAATCTCAGGCAGACTCTGCCCTGAGCTCAGAGCCCATCATGGAGCTTGATCCCAGGATCCCGAGATCATGACCTGAGCCAAAATCAAGAGTCAGATGCTCAACCGACTGAGTCACCCAGACACCCCCAGAGTTCATATTCTTACGACTATCATCAATATGGTTTCTGGAGCAAATTATTAAAACAACACAAATAACATCAATAACCACTACCCTAATTTAAGAAACAGTAACGAAAGAAAAAATTAAAAATCAGCAAGAAAGGTTCAGAGTTTTCAGTCTAATCGCACTTGTTAAACTCATGGGATCATACAACTCAAAACCTACCTAGATCACACATATTCCTCTCGCTTTGCAATGTTTATATTGAAGCCCAAGGGGTATCTCACCCCCAGAGATATGACAAGCCATGTTTTGTTATCAGTCTTTGTCACAGTTTTGTAATAAAACTTTCCATTTTGACTACTTTGAGATCTACAAGTGGAGCTGCGAAGACAGACCAGACGATTGCCCCCAGCCCAGCCAGCAAGCGCTCACATTCCCGGTATGTGAGTCTCACTGAGAAGCCCAGGCTCCATCTGGACTGACTGGCCTCCCACCATGTCCCTTCTCTGTTCCAGGATCCGACCCAGGGCACCACCCCACACCTGCATCATGACTCCCCAGTGTCCTCCAATCTAGAGCAGTTTCTTAGCCTTTTGTTTTTCAAGACCTGGACGATTCTCTAAGGAGTTCTGGGCAGGTCTTTCGTGGGATGTCCCAGCTTGGGTTTGTGTGACATTTTCCCATGGTTAGACTGAGGTGATGGGTTTTGGGGAGAAGCCCCCAGGCGTGAGGTACCTTCTCATCTCATCACACCGGGGCATGGGTGCCATCACTATGACAGATCACTGTGGACCTTGAGGACTGAGCTGAGGTGGCGTCTGCCGGACGTCTGCCCAGACTGCAAAGTCTCTCCTCTCCCTTCCCTTCCTCTTTTGCTTGGAAGCACATCGCTGAGTCCAGTCCCCCCTCAAAGTGGCGTCTGGGGGCAGATTAAGCTCTACTTCCCGGAGAAAGTGTCCACAGGCCTATGGGAATTCTTCTGTATGCAAGATCTCTCTCTCTTCTCCCTCATTTGTTTATTAAATCATTTATTTATATCCTTATGGACACACAGATAATCATCTGACACTCTGAGTTATGGTCCAATACTACATCAAACTGTCCCAGCTTTGGCCAGCAGGAGCGCTTTCAGTTGGCCCTCATGTCCCTCTGACGTGCCCCTACCCTTTTATGAGCACTACCTCCTGGCACTGTAAGAGGCTCCAAGGCTCCTCCTCTGTTCTCCCTGCTCCAACCCTAGGGAAAACCGTTTTTCCAAGGAGCCCTGATTCCTTTTACTGGAGAATCCTATCAGAAACCAGAGTCTGGGCATTAGGTTTGTTCATGGCCTTGGGGATGTCACAGCTTCCAGGTCCTCATGGGGCTAGGTGACAGATGTGTGTATGTGAAGCCACCATGCCCATACGTTAACATGCATCTGTGCATGTGTAAGTTAAACACGAATTCACGCTGATGAGGGTCTGGCTCCGCCTGTGTCCCGAGGTCCATTCCAGCCCTCCTGTCCTGTCTGTAACTGCTCTGTCCAGTGAGCTGCAGCCCGGCTCCCACATGCAGGCACTTGCCCGCTCAACCCCATACGGCAAAGCAGCTTCAGAGCGAAGCAGCTGGACTATGGAGGGGACGGAGTTTATGAACAGCTGCTTTCTGGTGGCAGCCTTACAGTTTCCAAAGCTCCTTTTTCTCCTCAGTGCAATTACCCAACGTCTGTGTGTGTGTCTCCATTGTATACCTTAGCGCCCCCCCTTCACGAGGAGTGGTCTATGGGTTGACAGGCACATGGGGTCGTGTATCCAGCACCCGAGGACCCACAGAGCAGCCCCTCTTCTCTGCAATAACCACCAATCTGCTCACTGTCCTACGGCCTAGCCTTCCCCAGAATATGTCATGTGAATGGGATCATACTGTACGTAGCCTCTGAGTCCTGGTTTCCCCCCGTGGAAACACGCACCTAAGACTTACTCGTGTCATTGCTCCTGCTTTTGTACTGCTGAAGAAGGCCCCACTGCATGGCCATCGCATGGTTTCTTTAAGCATTCCCCTACTGAAAGACATGTTGTTGCTTCCAGTCTCCAGCAACTGTGAATTACGAATGAAGCAATCAACATTCACCTATAGATTTTATGTGGATGTAACTGTTCAGATCTCTTGGATAATACTCAGAGGTGGGATTCTTGGGTAGATGTGTTCAACTTTTACGAATCCTGTCTTCCAAAACAGGAGTTCCACTCTGCATTCCCACCAGCACCGAGCAGAGTTCCTGGTGCTCGACATGTTCGCGGACATTCTTACCGTCAGGTTCTGGATTGTAGCCACTGGAAGAATGTCATCGTGGTCCTAATTTGCATTTCCTAATGAACAGGAGGTTGAGCATCTGTTCGTGTTTATTGCTGTCCATAGTTTCATTCAGTTACTTTTTTTTTTTAATTAGCAGGTCTTAAGACTTCCTTACATATTATGGATAAAAGTCCTTTATCACATAAATGATTCGCAAGTGTTTTCTCCTGCGAACAGCCTGTCCTTTAATCCTCTTAGAGTTTTTGGCAGAGCAAAGTTTTTAATTTTGACAAAGTCCAGCTTCTCAATTTTTTCTTTAACAGACTGTGCTTTTGGTGCTGCTTCTACAAACTCACTGCTAAACCCAAGGTCATACATATTTTCTCCTGTATTTACTTCTTGAAGTTTTATCATTTTACATTTTACAATTAAGCCTATGATCTAATGAGTATCTTTAAGCCCAAAGCACCTATAAGTAAAAGAGCAGTTAAGTCAATAAAACGAAACGCTGACTAGTGGTAACAGCAGTACCCTCCGGAAGAAGGGTAAGCGTGGCACGGCTTACCTCAGCAGCCTTCCTTTCCCCACCCCCTTCGATGCAGTGATGCCCACCTCACCTACTTTGTGCAACTTCTGAGAAGAAAGAGGGGTCAGGTACTCTACAGTGCTGCTCAAACTATCTGTGGTGAAGAACCAGCTTTACTCCTCACTTTGTAAAATGCAATAAAACTGAGTTACCACAACAATGAAATATAAGAATAAAAGCATACAAAATACAAGCCCAAATTTTTCATTATTAGATTCAAAAGCCATAAAATTAATTTGTCAACCTGCTTCCAAAGTTTCTAAGTGCTTAATCCTAGCTGCAGCAGAGTTGTCTGCTCCACAGGCCCCCCACTCCCGCAAGCAGGATGAAGCCGGGCAGGACCGCTGAGCAGCAAGGATGCGCGGCTAGTCTGGACTTGGCAGGAGAGCTGGACAGAGATTCACAGCAGTCCTACTGGCCTGGCGTTTATTTCCACTGCCCAGAAAAGCTTACTGCGGCCGGAAGACCCCACAGGAGAAATTCAGAGAGCACCACCTCTGTCAGGAAGAGACTCCACGCAGAAAAGTAAAATAGGAAGGTGCAGGGAGAGTGAGCACCTCCGGGACCAGAGGCGCAGGTCTGTATTTGAAGCACCATGTCAGACACCGTGCTCACTGCTAAACGGGTGTGCAAACCAACCACGAGGGAGAGGCAGCCGCTCCAGCGGGATGGACGCGTCAGTCTTACCTCTATGATATCTTCCACGTTGAACTGAACGTCGAACGCGAGCTCGATGTCATGCTCTGGCAGTATCGGGGCCCCTGTAGTTGGATTCCACCCCAAACCACAGAGGACTCCAGTATAGCACTTTCCATCCTGATCGACCCTGAATGAAAAGTTTTTAGAAGAATGAATATTTCAAAATTATTAAACCACTGTTTTAATATCAAAGGAACTGGCCACTGCAATCCGCCTAAGTTCTGCCAACCCTAGCACGGCAACTAATTTCGTTTTTTTATTTTCTCTTCCAGTTTTTATACTGGAAGTAATAGAGCATACATAGTTATAAGGACAGTTAATATATCTATTAATCCATTATTTAGGTTTCTATTTCTCACTACAGCAGATAACATAAAGAATATTTTATTGCATTCAGTTTTCTTCCCTACCTTTGAATTCTTCCCTTGCGTTAAATTCTTATTAGTGAGGTTTCTGCAGAAAAGGTTATACACATATATTTATGACTTGTGAAAGAAGTTTAGCACTTAGTAAAAGCTTACAAGATGTTTGTCCCACCTTCCTATCCTCAAACAACTATACACACAATACAAAGCGTTATATCCTCGTTTCACCAAAACAGCCCGCTCCTCTCCAGCACTGTGTGCTGTCACTTCCATTTTCAAAGTTTCCCTAAATCTGATGATCCTCTCCATCTCAGCTGCCACCTGCCTGGTCCAAGCCACTGCCACTTCTCACCTGGACTCATGTGACTACTTTCTGACCCATCTTCCCCACACCTACTCCTGCTTATTTGAGTCTGGTTCCCACGCAGCAGAGAGTGTTGGTTTTCAAAACAAATCCAGTCATCCCACCCCTCGCTTAAGGGCTTCCTGTGGTATCCTGTGGCATTCTGAGCAAAACCTGAGCTACTCCGAGCCACAGAGCGTCCGGTCTCTGCTTTGCTCCCCCGTATCATCTCAAACCACATTCTCCCCCCACCAACCCCTGCCCAGGCTCCAGCTTCTCTGACTTCCCTACAGGCCGGTCAGGCTCCCCCAGAGGGGAACCCTTCCTCCCCCCGCCATGCCCCCAGAGCCCTCTGCCCCCAGGCTCCTTCTCCTGTCCCAGGTGTTAATTTCAAAGCCAGCACCACAGCCCAGAACAGGATCAACAAATAATTATAAAAAGAATGAACACATATTAACACTTAATATCTTTTAAAATATTTTGCTAATTTTGACTTTTAACTCACACCTTTTCCCATAATCTAGGTCAATAAAGTTGTGATGCAAATAATCTAGGCAAAAACAGAGCTTTCTTCTTAGCCCTAAAGATACACACACACACACACACTTCTTTTTCACTTTCATGAAAATGAAAGAGAATCCCACTTTAAGTAAACTCAAAGAAGAGAACCAGAATTGAGACTTATAAATTAGGTGCTGAGCATCTGCTTTACAAAACAGTCACCAAAGTGTCTCTTTAAATAGTTATGTTCCCCACATGATTTTTAATAGAACATAAATTTAATTTCAATGTACAGAAAATCTTTCCAGAAAAGAGTATGTAACAGCCCCGGGTCACCAACAGTAAGACTAACGGTTTTTCATCATGGTTAATAAAATGCCACATCACCTCCAGCTCACTAACTGCTGCTGACACTTACATGGGTCCCTCATATGTGGTAACAAACGCATATCAACAAGGAGAGTCCCAAAAGATTCAACCTTGAACTGACCCATACCAAGGTAGTAATCCTCTGCTCATCGACTCTAAACCTTAAATCAATAAAGCTAACCAAAGCACTGGCTTTAATTTTTTTCTGGGGATTCTAAAAACTCATGTGGACCTAGTAAGTAATTAGGACCACGGAAATATTTTTACTTCCTCTATAATACATATTTTAAACTCTGACGGAGAACTGCCAAAATCATGGAACAAAAGCCTAGTGTGCTGCATGAAGATACAGCCAAGGACATGCCAGAGACATAATTCATTCTGAGACAACTTACGTAAAGGAACTCAAGCTTACATAAGCTGACAACTGCTATGCTTGGAAGAGCTAACATCTCCAGACAATTAGGTTTAAAATAAATACAACAGAAGAGCAACCTGTACCGTAAGCTAATAATCTAGAACTCCCCACAGGAGCCAAAGAAGGAAATGTATTTCCTCAAAAGTTAAACGTTAGTCAATCTGAAACTTCCATATAAAAAAGCTCTGTTAAATATTCTGCAGTGTGCATTGTATTAATCTACAAAGTTCAGCTGGCCCTTGAACATGGGTTTAAACTGTGCAGCTCTAGTCATACATGGATTCTTTCCAATGAATACACTGGAAAATTTCTGGAAACTTGTTGAAAAACAATTTTTCTCTAGCTTACTTGATTACAAGAATGCGGCATAACTATACATATAACATATAAAGTAAGGGTTCGTTGGCTCTAGGTTATCAGTAAGGCTTCCCCTCAACAGCAGGCTGTGTTGTTTAAGGGACAATTGTATTTGTTAAAAGTCTACTGAGTCTACCGATATTTCCAAATCCTGCTGCGGCTACTCCCTGGGAAGGAGCTTCCCAGTGATGCTGCCCGAACAAGCGGAAGAGGATGGACACACTCACAGCACCAACCATCTGTAGAGTGCTGCCTGGCCCCAGATACTGTGCTGAACTCTCTATATCTCAGGGAGCCCCCCCATCAGCTCACGACAGCCCCGACAGCCCTTCCTCACAGACAGGGAAACCTCAGAGGTGGAGACCCTGCCCAGGTCTGGCAGCACGTGGCAAGCCAGAGAGCAAGGCCAGGTGCACCTGCTGCCACATCCTTCCCACCAGACCCAAAGTGCCCCCTCTTACCACATGTGCCCATCACCTCACATGTCCAACATTTAGAGGCACCTCTGCGTTATTCTCAGGTTTTCTAAAGCTTTTTAAAAACAAGAGAGTAAGGGGCGCCTGCGTGGCTCAGTCGTTAAGCGTCTGCCTTCGACTCAGGTCATGATCCCAGGGTCCTGGGATCGAGCCCCACATCGGGCTCCCTGCTCAGCTGGGAAGCCTGCTTCTCCCTCCCCCACTCCCCCTGCTTGTGTTCCCTCTCTCACGGTGTCTCTCTCTCTCTGTCAAATAAATAAATAAAATAGAAAATAAAAACAAGAGAGTTAGATCACGGTTTTCTTAAAGAGCAGTACACGACTACACCGTAAACAATTCAGACAGTATGTCACCGTACAGAAGGGGGCATGTTGTACAGATGGCAGGGTCAGCAGTTCCCATCCTCCAGGCTATTCTCACAATGGAAAGCTGACACTTCCCAGCGACAAGTGGGCTCTGTGGTCCCGCACCCTGGGTCTGGGTGGGACGGGGGCACTTCTGAGGCTGGTCATAAAAGAGGACACAGCTCCCACCCAGCTCTCTCTCAGGACGCTGACCTTTGGCACCCAGCCACCATGCCTGAGGAAGCCCCAGTGAGCCCACGCAGATCCCCCCCACCCCCAGGAGGCCCTCGGGAGCCCGGGAGCCTCAGGAGCAGAAACAGGCCTCCAGCCCCAGGCCAGAATCAACCACCAGACATGTGAGCAGAGAAGCCAAGGCCTGATTTCCACCCCTCCGCCGTTGGGGCCTCCTGTGCCAAGGAGGAGAGGAGGCGTCCCTGCTGGGCGCCGTCTGAGTTCCTCCCACAGCACCGAGAGGGCTGTTGTGCGTAACTGTCACGCAGCCAAAGTAACCGGCACAAACAGTAACAGCAAAGTTCCCTTTAACCCACTCCCATTAATTCTTAACAGTTTTGCCCAGTGGGGCTGGAGCGCTGCCCTGTGGAAGCCGCCAGAACAGCCAGGCCGACACCACCGGTGATGCCCCCCCCACCAGCCGCAAGACCTGAGCCCCAGCGGCGAGAGCCCAGGGGGAGGCAAGGGCGGCGCCAGGGCAGCGCGCCCAGCAGAAGCTGCGCTCCGACCTCTGCTGCCCTTCCTGCAGACGCCAGGCTCGCCACTGTGGAGCATTTCACTCTCGCCGGGGACAACAGCACTGAGGCCACCAAAGTGGACGCGAGCGAGGACGCTGAGGGAAGCAAGTCGGGGAAGGGGCCGCGGGAGCAGCACGAGAGGCGAAGCCCGCCGGGGCCGGGGCTCCGAAGGGAGGCTGGAGGCAACAGTGACAGGAAACCTGCGCCCTTCTTGAGCCACCAAGGTCCGGTCCCCAGACTGGCGGAAAGCAAGGGGGAGGCGGTGAGAAGCGCAGAGGAGGGGCCGGGAATGGTGGCCGGGTCAGTGGTCCCCAGGTGCCAGACGGGACCGTGGCCTCTCGTGGCTCTCTGCTTTGCTAGTGGAGATAACCAGCGCCCCCCCCTCCCCCGTCACACACACATACACACACACACACACCACTGCAGACTGTGCTGGAGGCAGCAAAATTTCCTTCTGGTCTTCAGTTTGCCATCAGTCTTGACAGGACAGTGACAGAGCTGCCCCAGAGGCTGTGGGCTCTGTGTTGGGACAGCTGCCTGCCAGCCACAGCTGGCCCGGGGGCCACGGCCGGGAGGGAAAGCCGCTCAGGCAGCCACTCTGCCCTGAAGGGCCGCTGGGGCCCAGGCCTCGGGTGAGAGGAGGGAGCTCGCCCACATCAAACCCCCTTTCCCTCCAAAGCCCCTCGAATAACGGCTCTTACCAACTCATCAAGTTAAAAATGCTCACTCAACTCATTAGGGGCAGACCTGCGATAACAAAGCACCAGGCCCCATCTTCCCCTCCTGGGGACCACCTAGCTGAGCCTCTGCGTCTGGCCACCCAGTGTCACTCACATGGTCACAGAAACTACCCCATGCTGGCTCGTTTAAACTAAATGCAACAAAATGAATACAGAGTATCAGCTACGTGCAAAGTGCTATGTACTGCTTATATATAACCTTCTCCTGGCAAGCTTATTTTGTTCTAAAAAGATAGTATTTTAAATACCAATTATTTCCATGTTTCTTAAGTGTCTCAGTAACATAACCCCTTGCACTTTGGAGATTTAAAAATAACACACCGGGACACCTGGGTGGCTCAGTCAGTTAAGCGTCTGCCTTCAGCTCAGGTCGTGATCCCAGGGTCCTGGGATCGAGTCCCGCATCTCTCTCTCTCTCTCATGAATAAAATTTTTAAATAAATAAATAAATAAAAAATAAAAATAACACACCATGTCACACATACCCTCCAAAAGGTCATATTTAAAAGAAAAGTCCGAGCAGAACCTTAATCTAATGAGAGAAGCAAGGGGAGTGTCAAAAACAGTCGGTGAGGAATTTGTGTTCACATATTCACTGAGTCGCTCCCTACTTCCACACGGCAGCATCCTTCCTTGTTAGATAATCCCATGTAATGCACTGTTTTTATAGGTTTGTCTCCCCCATGAGGACTCAGAAGATAAATATCGTCAAGATATTTATCACATCATTATTGTAAAATGAGAGAGAAGCCCAATTCCAACATTTAAAGGCAAATTAAATCCTTTTGGGACAAGAGCGGGTCAGAAACAATTGCATATGTAAATAAAATAGGGCAGTGTTTTTATAAAAGCCATTTTATGTCCACTCAGTGGTATATGATGCAATTTTATTTTAATATTTTATTCTATTTATTCACTAAATATTCTATTTTAATAGAATATTCCATTTTAATAAATTCTATTTTAATAGATATTTACAAAGATGTCATAATAATGTCAAAACGCTTCTATTTGTGGAAAAGATGCAGTATGACAAAAACCTAAAAACAAAAAATGTATATAATTATCCTGAAAATAAATTCACTAAATGTTTAAAAATGATATGTTTTTTTTTCTCATTCAGCTTTTTTCAGATTTTTCTAAGTAGTATATATTTTCAGGGCAAAAAAAGTACATACACAATCGTTTTCTACACTAAAAATGACCACTATTTGAGACTGTGCTAGCAGACTCTGAGGAGGTACGTGGCGAGAGGGCTGAGCAAGCAGCAAGGTTGGGCCGCCAGCCACCAGCTGCCCCAGCCAGCCAAGTGTCTCTTTGGGGGCGTAAGCCTTCCTCAAGACCCGACCTTGTTCCTCTGTAGCTGTCGCCTCTCTGCAGAAGCCCATCAGCACTTCCCCAATGGTAAATGCTCTTTGCACACACCGAATGTCAAATAAAGACCACATGACGTGGCTGCCCCCACGGTAAGGATGCTGTCGAGGGCTCTGCTCCTGCTCACACAGCTCCCTCTGCTAAAGCCTTCAGGACAAATTCCTGTTTCATCTCGACATCAACAAGAGCTACAATTGGCAAAGCGGTCTGCCCTCTTACCCTCCAGTTACCGTCACCAGTGGGACTGACAAGGCGGCCTGCTGCCAACTGGGAGCAAGAAAATGGAGAGCCACCTTCACGGCCCCTTAACAACAGGCAGCCATCTGCACGTTATTCATCCTGAGCCTATTCCCAGCTCCTGATTTTCTTTCTCCAGCCCCGCTGGTCCTCAAGCCCCCACGTGATGCTGTCTATCTGTACGGGAACCAAGTCCAAGTGTAGGTATGTCAGTACCAGGAACGCCGCCTCAACCACACTCCAGCCCGGGGAAGCTCAACGAGAGCCACAAGTGCCCTGGCCAGGTGCTCTGTGTCTCCTCTCCCAGAGGAGGAGGAGAGGCGCCCTCTTCTCCCCCCTGGGGTTCTCACTTCACAAAGCCTGGACAGAATGGACGAACCTTAACTCCATCACCGGTGCAAAGAGCGCGCTGAGGAGAGCCGGGAGGCCGGGAACGTGCGGCATCAGAGAGGTCTCTCTCAGCAGCATGGTGGACCCTGTTGGACAGTCAACAAAGGCGACGTCAGGCACAGACTTCACTCTGCAGAACGTCGCGCCCCCCCCCGGGCACACTCCTTATCCCCTCCTCCACGGAGTCCGTCCCCGTGGGCACGGCCCCACAGCCAAGTGCCCCCGGAGTCCGATCCCATGGCACCCTGCAGCATCCGCCTGGCCAGCATGCTGCAACCTGCGTCCTGTCGGGGACAACGTTTGTGTGGTTACTCTTCTCTTCCCTTCCATCAGGCTTTTGGGTTTGTCCCAGGGCCAAGAACCTGGATTTGTTCTACTTGGTAGACAAGCATGATGGAATGAATGAGAATCAAGAAATCAATACCACACCCTTGTACAAAAGGAAAGGTGATGTGCTCCATTTCTTAAACTTGTATCAGCCAACGCACTCAGAAAACAGCCTGAAAATAGAGCACAGGCACATAAATGTGCTTGCTAACTATAGGACAAATCATTCCTAGTAACGGAGGAGAGGGAGGGAGACACAGAGCAGATGATGAGGGAACACAGCCCGACTCACCCGTTGCATTGACGGAAAGGGAAGCTGCAACCAGCATCCTCTGGTGAAGGTCCTCGGGGGCATCGCTGATGATGACAGAGTTGATGCTTTCCTTCTCAATCCAAACACATCTGAAAGGGGCATCGTCAGGGGACAGAGGCTGATCCACCCGCTAGGCAATGTGCTACGTCCAACCCCCGAGCTAACACATGTCACAGACACAAATAGGCGAGTGCAGCGCTCAACAGGTGAAAGCTGTTTAACATCCAAGTGTCCTTCATGCCTCCTCCTCTTCATCCAGCACCACCACCCTCTCCACCCTCATCTCTCTCCCGCTCCCGGGCCTTGAGCACCACACCACCCACATGCTGACAACGCCCCCTAGGCTCCCGGCCACCCGCCCCCCTCCTGCACTGCTCAGCAGAGGCCCCGCCGCCACCCAGGAAGGGCATCCTCCACTCTTCCCCTTCCCACGTCACTGAGTCTAATCACACATCAGGCTGTTGATTCCACGCCCGAAGCTCTCATAAAGCAGTCTGTCTCTGCACCTCCTGCCATGGACTCAGCATGGTCCACAACGTACCCACCCAGAATTACAGCAGTGACCAGCCTCAGAAGTACGCTCCTACCCGAGGACCCTTCTACCCCCAAACCCAATGCATTCTTCACACTGGGCTCTGCAAGCCTTAAGGGGCCTACGGACCATCTACAAATCTTATGAAAATGCAGGCTCTGTGCAAAAGAGGCCTGAGCTCTGCATTTCTGACAGGCTTCAAGAGATGCCTACCCTAGAGGGTTTGCCTCTTAGCCGAAGAGAGTGTTTAAAATACACATAAGGCTTTCCAACTGTCTTCAGATGAAGTCTGGATCTTGCTTACAAAGCTCGTCCCCATCTGCCACAGCTCCGCAGCCCTTCTGCTTCCCACCCACTCTCCAACCTCACTATGCTCATTCCGAAGTGCAAAGTCAAACTGAGGCCAAAGCCCACGCTGAGTAACACCCTCCAGCTCGCCTTCACCTCCCCACTCACTGACTGGAAACCTCCATGGCCTTTCACAGCCTGAGTGTGTTCAGGGGCCCCTTGAGATGCTTTCATAATGTTCTACAGCCCCTCTCATAATGTTCAAAAGCCTCATCAACCCTTCTTCTGAGGACCCGTCTTCCCTTGCATACCATCCCCACCACACACACAATTTTAGGGATTACACTGAGTGTATTTTGTTCACTGTTGTTCCCCTCAAACCATACACTGTTCCCAGAACACAGCAGGCATTCACAGGTTTACTGAATGAAAATCAATTATAAGAAGAACAGAAAAAATGAGGCCCTTGTTAGAAGATACTCAAGAATGTCTTACACAGAATGGCTTTCGTACAAGAGAAAGAGTATCTCAGATTTGGAGCTAGGAGAGGAATGAGAAGGAGCTGGAAAAGGGAAGGTTTCAACAGTTTAAAGAAAGATTAGTTTCTGTTAAGCTCTGTAAATAGAGGAGCAGAGAAAAAAGAAATCCATGGGGAACCTAAGTTAATCACACCTGAACTTGGATATTCTGGTCAAACTATGACACTTCAGTTCATAAGGGTTAAAAGGCCCATGAAGTATCACCTGTCGATAAAAAACATGCAAAATGTTACCAATAGGCAAGTTATCACTTAACATACATTTTAAAAATCCAAAAGTTAACTCACGTTTTGAAAAAGAAAATAGCTACGCCTTAGTTATAACGTCTTCAAGATGCAGTGGGGGGAAAAAAAGGTCTTATGGTGCTTTTCTGGGATGCGGTGATTATTATTTTCAGTGGTTTCTCTAACATGCCTCAAAAGATACACTTAAGGAACAGTTTGGCCAAACAAAGGAAATACTGCCAAACACTTCGGTAGAAGCATTACCTTTTCAGTGTACCAGACTAGTCCGACTGAGTAGGGAGCACCGGGAGCACAGGGCCAGGGGCTGGGGTGGCGAGAGGGGAGCCCCGGAGCAGGGGGAGGGGGGTGTGCGGCCGCCTGCTCTGGGAGACAGGCAGATGCAGTGACTGCACTGCCCGCTGGGGCTGGGCCGCCTCCACGGAGGGCCTGGCTCTCCACAGTCCGCACACGGCTTCCTCCAACTGGGTAAACAAGCACAGACTGCCTCTGGGAAGGCTGGTTTAAACGAAAGAACTAGTCTAAGCATTTCTCTACACTGAACTCCAGGTTTTTCCCTTACTAAGGTAAGCGCCATTGTGAAAACAGTACCAGCATCTAAAACCAGGAAAGAAAAGCCCACCACGACTACTAGTTATGACCCAGCATATAAATATAAAATGACTTTAAGGTTTAAATTGTATTTTAAAGCAGCAACTATAAATTACCTTGCAGTTGGGGGCACCCAGTTTATTAGAAGAAAAACTCTCTAACAAAACCCGGATGAGGTACTTTTCATCATCCTTCACAGGGGATGATGTAGACAAGTCTGCCACGTTTTCTACGGACTTGGAGAAGAGACCCTTGAGAGCTTCATGGCTTTGCTGAGCAGAATAAGCAAAATTCATTTTGCTAAAAGGAAAAACTGTATTAAAAGTACTTTATCCCAAACTAATCAAAGTATTTCACAGGCATGACCTTATTCTTAGCTGATTGCTAGGTCACTAAGGTCAGGAGTAAATTTTATCAAGTAAGCACATTTTAAGATTCAAACAAAAGAAATAAGACAGGATTCATTTAAGGCTCAATTCACCAGGGCACCTGGGTGGCTCTTCATTTAAGGCTCAATTCACCAGGGCACCTGGGTGGCTCAGTCAGTGAAGCATCTGCCTTCAGCTTAGGTCATGATCCCAGGGGCCTGGGATCGAGTCCAGCATCGGGCTCCCTGCTCCTCGGGGAGTCTGCTTCTCCCTCTGCTTCTGCCCCTCCCCCCTGGCTTGTGTGCTCTCTCTCGCTCAAATAAATTAAAAAAATCTTTTTTTTAAAAAAAGGCTCAATTCATCAGCCTTTACTACCTTTCAGTCATCAGAAAACTGGAGAGAGTGAAAAACAGCTCTTAAAAGAACTTTCTGTACTCAACACTTCTGCTCCACACCAGGAACACTCCCAGAATCCCGAAAGGGTTTCTCACACATGGAAATACCAAGTCCAGCCAGCTCTCTGGCTACTGTTCTGTTGCCCGTTTCCCCTCTCCTTAATCCTAGCCCCACCCCACTGTCAGCAGAAATTACAGAAGGAAAATAAATGGCCTTCAACATCTGACTCAAAGGTGGCATCTCTGAAACCTTCAAAGGAAAATAGCTTCAGAACTGATTTTGAAAGAAATGGCTGAATATCATTTTGCAATATCTGAAAATACTTGAAACAAGTATCTTACTAATTGCTTTCATTAGGGAGCTAAATCTTGGAATCCATTACAGAAAAAATAACTCCCCAAATAGAGAACATTTTTACATCTAATTTTCATTCTAAGAAGAAACAAATAGCCTAATAAAAGGAAACTAACAAAAGCAACACCCAGTCACCATAATTTAGTGTCAAAGAAACCCTTCTAGAAGGCACTTAAAATGTACGACAAACACTACCTAGCTATTCATCCATCAGCATCCTGAGAGAGGAAAATGGCACCCCCACTTCTCCACTGTCCCTCCCACAAACACACATACACTCACGCACACGTGAACCGGCCACATGCGCTCCCACAACTAGGATGAACGTGCGTACCATGGACTCATAGGACTCCTCCGCGAGCTCGGCGTAGCCCTCCTTGATGAGGACGTCTCTTACGTTGACAGTGTCCTGGGCCCCCGAGCAGCGGTACACATCCACGTGCAGGACGCTGTGCACAACAGAGAAGACCCTGACGAGGAGCGCGCAGCCGCTCACCAGGGAGGCAAACCGCTGGCTGGCCCCACCGCTCCAGTGCTCACCACACACGAGAGACTTTGCAGAGGGGCGCATTTTGCAAATCTTAAATTCCAATGCCTACAGGACAGAAGAGCATGGCTGAACCAGCTTTATAAATGAGTGAAACACTCACCCCACATACTGCCGAAACGTGGCCCTGAACATGGATCTTCACCAGCGTTCTCATAAAAATCCTACTAAAAACAATTTTGGTCCATTAACAGATGAGTGGATAAGGAAGATGTGGTGTAGACACACAATGGAATGTTACTCAGCCATCAAAAAGGATATGATCTTCCATTTGCAATAACATGAATGGAGCTAGAGAATATTATGCTAAGTGAAGTAAGCCAGAGTGAGAAAGACAAATATCATATGATTTCCCTTATATGTGGAATCTAAAAAACAAAAGAAACAAACAAAAAGCAGAGACAGACCAAAATACAAAGTGGGCTGCCGGAGGGGAGGGGGATGGAGGGTTGGCAAAACGGGGGAAGAGGCGTAGGGAATAGAGCTTCCAGTTACGGAGTGGACAAGTCACAGGAACCAGAGGTGACAGCACGAGGAGTGCGGTCTGGGGTATCACACTCGTGCTGCATGGTCACAGACGGCGGCTACCACTGTGCGAGCACAGCACGAGTTTCAGAGTCGGGACTCGCCGTGTGGCACATCTGAAACCAACGTCGTATTTTGTGTCAACGATAATAAATAAGTAAATGATTACATATATTTAAAAAAAACTTGGGGGGGATTTCACAAAGTGAGGATTTCATAGGTAAAGATATTGGATGTTGCTTTTTCAACCCAAACAGAAGTTTGGACTGCCTTCTGAACGGTTTCCGTACCAACAGAGAGCACGCAGGTATATCTGGCCCACCCAAGTTCTAGCTGTTTACAACACAACCAAAAACCTCAGAGAAAGTATTTGAAATAAAATTATTTCAGTTAGATATGAGGAATTCTTAATTTCAAGGCCCCCACAGAGGGTTGCTGGAGAGGCGGGGGGTGGGAGGGATGGGGTGACTGGGTGATAGACACTGGGGAGGGTATGTGCTCTGGTAAGCGCTGTGAATTGTGCAAGACTGTTGAATCTCAGATCTGTACCTCTGAAACAAATAATGCAATATATGTTAAGAAAAAAAAAAAGAAGAAGAAAAAGCTAGCGGGAGGGGAAGAATGAAGCGGGGGAAATCGGAGGGGTAGACGAACCATGAGAGACGATGGACTCTGAAAAACAAACAGGGTTCTAGAGGGGAGGTTGGTGGGAGGATGGGTTAGCCTGGTGGTGGGTATTGAGGGCACATTCTGCATGGAGCACTGGGTGTTATGCACAAACAATGAATCATGGAACACTTCATCTAGAACTAATGATGTAATGCATGGGGATTAACATAAGAATAAAAAAAAATTGGGCAAATTAAAAAAAAAATTATTTCAGTTAAACAGCTACGTTTTTGCTAAGTGTGAAACCACTCTCCATATATTTTAACTCACTCCACAGACAATACTGACAAAAATGTCTGTGGCAATACATTTTTTGAAAAAAGCAGAAATCAAATTTGGCCTATATGACCAAGCAAGTCCCTTCCCACTCTGGGACCTGGCCCCTATCTGTGGGCTGAGGGTAGGCCGTGTGACCTCGAGAATCCTTTCCAGCTTACACATTCACACCCAGCAGCTTCTCTACCTTACCTGAAATGGGAGTTCAAGAAGGTGACAGGGAATCTCCATTAAAAGATCCAGATCTACATGAGATCTATTACCATAGTCTACAAAGAACACCTAGAGAACAGGGAAAGGACACACTTTAATATGGGGTCAGACACCACACGCCACCTGACCAGTGGCCACACAAGGATCTACTCTAGCTCCAGAATCTAGCAGTCTTACGACAGGAGCTAAAATCCACATAGCACTGAGAGAAATAACTTTTTATGAGGCTACTTTTCTAACTCAAATGATTTTATATTTAATTTCCACTTAAAATTAGAAAAGGTTTTCTGTAAACTGCTACAAGTTTGTCTCATTTACCTTTGAGTGATTAGTTACAGAAAAACACATACCTCAGCAGAGTTCCCAGAAACATAAAGGATTTGGGCTCTGAAGTATCTTTCTTTATCAAAATCAGCAAAGGGAGCCAGACAGACCAAGTCTGGATGTGGGTGGATGGGCAAGGGCACCAATTCCAATTGGTTTATTTCAGCGGTAAGCTTTTTCAGAATCCTGGCGTTTCTTTCATCAATTCTATATCCCCAGAAGTGTCCCACCTCAACGACCTAAAAAAGAAGGAAAAGGAGCAGAGATGGATTCTAGAAAGGATTTCTATGTCAAGGTTATCATATGCTCACACCACAGGGCTGACATTCATACTACACTTCACAAGCTGCATTCCCTGGAACTTAAGTAACTCTACAGGCTTTGAATAGGTGCTTACGAACAAGAGGGCTCCCTGGTCACCTGCAGTGAGGACACGTGTGTCCCAGACCCCCTCTCAGAGGTGTGAGACTTGCCAGCACACGAACACATGAAAGGCTCTGAGAGGGCACAGAAGGCCAGACTGTTTCACTCGAGATGGGCTCCAGGCGGTAGGCCCAGCCCACAGAGTGCAGGCAGGACCAAGGGCAGCGAGGGCGGGTGTGCTGTGAGCGCAGCCCCTGAAGGATCGGTGACAAGTGGGAGAAGAAGGAGCGGGTGTTCCTTGGAAAAGGGCCTCCCCGAGCACCTCCCGCCCACGCTGCCAGGCACGGACCCACGCCGGCTGCCGCTTCCCAGTCGGCCCGGAGCCCAAGCTTCTGTGTGAAGTCTCGTGGTAAGTGTAGTCACAGATTTACCAGGAAGCAGGTGTGCATTTCCACTGACATTTTATTTGAAGAAGTAACAACCACACCTTGAAGAGTAATGATGCTGACGCCAGCTTTACTGACATAAACTGAATTACACAGCCATACGTCACTATGCCAATTGAAACATTCACATGTCTCACGCTGCCAAAATTAATGTTTTAGCATCTTAAACAGTACCTAACATTCTAAAAATTACACTTTGATTCTAGAATGAGTATTTGTGTTTCATTCTGTGTTGTAGCCACATTTCAATTTAACAAGGACAGAAATTCAAACCCACCTGCATTTACTTGATCACTAAGGTGCACACGTGTGTGTACACGCATGCTATTTCATGTCTACAACATGACGGCTCTAGGTGAAGACAGAAAAGTTCTAATGATTCAAACACACCATCTCACCTCTGTGACATCAATTGTTAAGAGGAGATCTGTGATTGCCCGGGATCTGTCTAATGTGTTAAATGAGACTTGCACAGGATCTACTGTCTGCTTCTGGAAGTCCACGTTCACCCTACGTAACGTGATTTAAAAAAATAAAAAGTCAGGTATTACAAAGAAAACGTACTTCCGTATGTGAAGTTATGGCCCCACTATTCCAGTGCTTATACAAGAAAAGAACATTTTAATAAAACACCTAACCTGGAGATGACAAATTTGATTTCATCTCAAATTTGAGTTTCCGACAGCTTCCTGAGCTGCCCTGCAGGTCCGTGCAACCCAAGAGTTACACACTACCCTTCAACAATAGATTCTAAAGATCAAGACTCTTACAGAAGATCGACTTTTAAGGGAACACATTCTAAATCTAAGACCTGCAATATTTCCTAATTTCTGGTTTCAGAGGTGACTTTGACCTTTCCGAAAGTACCAGAATCCATGCCCTGTTCAATGCTGTTAGAAAAGACCTACATGATTTTCTGATAAACCAAGGAGTTATCATTCATCCCTCAGGACAATAAGAGAGTAAAAGCTAAAGTTCAAGAATATGAAATACAAATTTGATAAAAACAAAATATCCCTTTCCTAATGCTTTTATTCGAAGAAAAAGAAGAAAAATTATACAAGAGATCCTGACCCAACTCTCTCTTCAACTTTTCAGACCCATTTCTGAAGTAAGAGTGACTCAGGCAAAGTTACCAGAAGAAAAGATCCTCCCTGTGTTACAGACCTAACCCGCTGCACCCCCAGAGTCTCAGAATCTAAACCTCCCCCACGGGATGAGATTCAATGGGACATATCTCCCTTTCTCACCAATTCCCCCAAATTCCTGTCAAGTTCCTCATAAAATTAAAAAGGTCACAAATAAGAAAGGATGACTGAGAATTCCTACACATGGTACTCAAAAAGTGTGACCAAAAGGGAAAGGAATCCTTCATAAATCCTGAAGGGTGATTTAATTTGGCCCAAGAAAAGAAAATCCACATGCCCAACGACAGCTGCCAAGTGGTGAGTGCCACCACGCGGGGCCAGCCACATGGGCAGCCCAGCCTTCCTGTTCCTCCACGAGGAAGGGGCAGCTTGTGCTGGCCAGCCCCCAGGTGCTCCCAGCTGCATCTCTGTTTTGCCCTACCATCTGCTCTGATGAGAACAGAGAATACGCCACTGTGCTTAAACAAAGGAAATGAGGAACTAATATTAGGTCTAATCCCTTCTATTTAAACTGAGAATTACTTTCATGATTCCGCTCAATCTTCTCAACAACCTTGTACAATAGGTACCATATCTATTAAACAGACACAACTCAATAGGAAAAAAAATTGTTTAATGGCCAAAAGTCTTAAACAGAGATTTCTCCAAAGACGATACACAAAAGGCAAACAGGTACATGAAAAGATACTCAATATCACTAGTCATCAGGGAAATACAAATAAGAACCACAACAAGGTATCAGCTCACGCCTTTCAGAGTGCCCATCATCAAAAAGACAAATGCTGTGCGCTGGTGGGATTGTAAACTGGTACAGCCACCATGGAACACAGTATGGACAATTCTCAAGAAATTAAAAAGAGAACCACCATATGATGCAGCAATTCTACTTCTGGGTATGTATCTAAAGGTAACAAAAACACTACCTCAGCAAGACACCTGCATCCCCGCGTTCATAGCAGCATTATGTACAACAGACAAGACATGGAAACAATTTAAGTGTCCCTCACTGGACGAATGGATAAGGAAGTGTGCTATATATATGCAGTGGAATATTATTCAGCCATAAAAACAAGGAAATCCTACCATTTGCAACAACATGGATAGGTCTCAAAGGCAATATGCTAAGTGAAATAAGTCAGACAAACACTGTATGGTCTCGCTTACATGTAGAATCTATTTTTTTTTTTAAGAATCTATTTAGAGGGCGCCTGGGTGGCTCAGTCGGTTGAGCGACTGCCTTCAGCTCAGGTCATGATCCCAGGGTCCCGGGATCGAGTCCCGCATCGGGCTCCCTGCTCGGCGGGGAGTCTGCTT